AATTATCTTGCACAATTTTTTTTGTTAACTTTATATTGCTATTGTTTTTAAATTACAACAGGCCTGCACATGGGAGAGCACGAGGCGATGAGAACCGTCCGGTTATTCCAAATTCCGGGCCAATAATATTCCCTTGCTACACAATTGTAAGTTTTTTCAACTCCATAATGACCCGCTGAAGGTAAGGTGTGAGTGTCAGTTAACTCTCTCTCCCTATACTCCTAAGGCACCACTAAATTTCAACCATCCTAGTCACCGTCAATTGGAAGAAGAAGGGGGTCACTTCTGTGTCGATATAACAAGTCATTTTCGATAATCCAGCTAGGAAATCGTTGAGGAAATTGTCTCACCAAGTCTTTACGCTTTAAATACCACAGGTCATCAATGATTTCGAATGCTTCGATCCCTTCCTCGTCAGATTCTGTCATTCTCGACAATGCATCAGGGACTTGATTTAAAGCACCCTTCCTGTGCAATATTTCAAAGTTCCAACCTTGCAGCTGCAGTGCCCATCCAGCTAGACGTCCGTTAGGATCTTTTAAGTTTCTCAACCAACGCAGTGCGCTGTGATCCGTGATAACTAGAAATTTGTAGCCCTCCACATACACAGGTTCTGTTTTCTGTGGATCCGGTCGAAGTCCGTCACTATCTAACAGATACCCCAAGTACCTAACTTGTGAGCAACCAAACTCACACTTGTCAGGATTTACCACTAACCCTGCTTCCGCCAGTCTTTCCAACACTATTTCCAGCCACTTTACATGCTCGTCAAAATTGTCCGCCATAATAATGATGTCGTCAAGGTAGCCGAATACAAAAGGTTCACACTCTGGTCCTAGGAAGTCATCAATGAGCCTTTGGAACGTTCTCGGTGCGTTTGTCAACCCAAAAGGCATCCTGCAATATTGCCACAATCCAGATCCAGGAATAGCAAAAGCGGTATACTTTTTACTTTCTTCTGCCATGGGAATCTGGTGATAAGCCAGTTTCAAGTCAATTTTTGATAAATAACGGGCTCTTCGTAACTTGTCAAGTATATAGTCATTTGAAGGAAGCGGGTATGCATCCTGTATTGTTACTTTATTTACGTCTCTAAAGTCCATACATAACCGAAAATCATTGTCACCTCTGTTGGTTATCACTGGAGCTCTTCTCCAGTTGCTTCCTGGTGGCTCAATAATCCCTTGTCCATACAAACAGACTACGTGTACTTGCGCCCAAGTAATCATAATTGGAGACATTCTTCTTTGACGGTGCTGCACTGGAGTCTCATCACCGAATGTAAACACTTCTTTTTACTACCTTGAATCACCTCAGGATTATTCTCAGAGTTGAATAAGTATTCTTTACTATTTCTTTCTCCTTTATCCCAAGTCAAAAATTTAAACTTATTCTCTTCATTTAATTTTTCTCGGCAAATGCTCTCTTCACTTAGTTTGAGTGGTACCTTCCCACTCTTGTGAACTATCTCCTTCCCACTCTCTTGCCAACTACAACTTGCTCCTTGGTTAATTGGAAATGAGTTGAACCCACATGGTTTCTCATTACAGACATTACCCTCACTCTCTACTGATTGGGAGGGTTGGAGGGGAGTTCAGACATCTTCTGTGCCCCCACTGGCCACTTCCCAAGGCAATTCTTAAATTTGTACAAGTGGGGCAATTTAAGAAATTTACCACTTGTGTTTTACACACCAAACAACTGTCAACTTGTTGGGGGCGATTAGGGCACTGATTTGCTGAGTGTCCTTTTGCTTGACAGCAGAAACATGTCCTTTAGGGACATTGAGAAGAACGATGGCCCACCATCTGACACGTAAAACAAATGCCTACAAATTGTTTTTGTGTTGATGATGTTCCTGTCCTGTTTGTCCTATTACTTCAATATTCTTCTGACTTTGGTTGGGCTTGTTGTTCATTTTATTTGCTGAAATAGGTGCAGCAATCTGTGATAAAGGTAAAGAAGGGGTTAAAGTAGTTGGTTGGTGGAACCTATCTGTCATCAAGGTCTTTCATCTTTTCATACTGTCGTACACTTCTCTCTAACTTTGAAAGAGACTCTATTGCCAATCGTTCTGCTTGTCTTTGGTATGCTGGGGTTAACCCTTTATACAAGATCTTTACTTGTTGTTCACAAGGTAATGGTCGTTTTAAGTGTCCCATGATGAGCCTTAGACTGGTCAGATAAGCAGAGATTTTCTCTCCTTTTGCTTGTGTTCTGCTTCGTAGTTCATCAATAACCTGGAGTCTTGTTACTCCTTCCCTCCTCACCGATCTGTCGTCATACTCCAAAAATTCTCTTTTTCCAAAGTCACTTTCTCTCTCACTCCCATCTGTCGCTAATCTTGATAATGTTTCCTGTTAAAGATTGTGATTTTGTTTTATTCATATTACCACTCTGTGGTAAATAATTCCTTCCACTAACTTTGGGGGTGGTAATTGTTTCTCCATATTCGCTCTCAAGTGTTGAGGACGATTCTCTTTCATTAAAAACATTTGAGTTCCTTGTGTGTTCTCCAAATTTAACACTTAAGAGTCATGTCCTCCCCTCCCTGCCTGGTCCTTGAAGGTCGTTTCCATAAAATGTATTTTCAAACTGTTGGTGCAATGTCATAAGATGTCTAATTTCTGGGCTCAAGGTAAGACGAGCCACTGCTTCCCTCCAACTGATTACACCTGGTGTACTTGCCGTTGACATTATCGTTGGCGGTGTACTTCTGATAACGCTTGTTGATGGTACTATTGTAGATTGGGACATAGTCGTTATTACTGAATTAGTAGGCATGCTTGTGGTTGACATTACTTGAATTTGGGGTGACTGTGTTATAGAAGCTGAAGGTGGAAATCCGTCATTATTCTGCTGAAGTCCCTTATGCGATGCTCTATTTTCTCCACTTGCACTAGTAGTTCTTTGGCTTTGGTTAAGTGTTCCCAAAATTCCCAAGTCATGAAGTAAGTCGTGTGCCAATTCAGCATCACTGTCAGATTCTCGAGCACCACCTCTCACTACATTTATGTTTCTTTCCTCTTCTTCCCCTGGCAGGGGCGTAGCCAAAAAAGTTTCAGGGGGGGGGGTTTATGGAATTTGATAAGAGGTGTACTGAGAATAAAATTAGAAATTTAGGGTTTATCATATATGTTTTTCCAAAATTTCGGGGGGGGTAAACACCCAACCCCCGCTGGACACGCCCCTGTCCCCCGGAAAAACAAAAACTTCCATAAGAAACGTCTTATCCGAACTACTCAAGTCATAACAGTCAAAAAACGGTACATCTAATTTACGGGAAAACTGTATTTTTAATTGGACTCTAAACAACCGCTCTTTTAACACTTTAGCGCTACCACTAATACAACAATGATAATGCAATAGCGTAGTAACAACTTGTCCTATTTGCATTTTCTCAATTGTATCCCAAATTGACCTTGCTTCTTCGACTTGCATCAAACTATGCATCTTTCTTCTGTATTGATTAATTTCTTGCAATGACTCCTCCATTTTCTCAACTCACAATCAGTCAACAACAAAACTAATCAATTTCCAACACACTCCTTGTCAAAAAAAAACAATACAAATTTTCTACATAAACTCTCTTTAAAAAAAAAGTTCTTTCTCTTTTAAAAAAAATAATTTAATTGTCAACACAAAAAAAATATTTATTTTTTCAAACTCTACTCACTTTTAATTAAGAATATATATCTGAAAATTCTCAGTGATCTTCGTTCAATAAAAAAAAGAAAACAAAAGGGTTCTTCGCCCGTGCGATACGGTCCTGGTCCTTTAAATTTTCAAGGTCTCACAGTCAAATTTCTCATCTCTTCCCAAGTGAAAAAAATTCTCTTCAATTTCGGCATTAGTAATATTTTTGAATCGCAATGATTTCCCTTGTCCAAAATTTTCACTGCCTGACAATTTCTATGTATGACAATGAATTTGAAAAAGACAAAAAAAATTATCGCTTCGCGCATGCGTTACCTGTCACGTGATTATTGTAATTTTATTTAACACAAGCACGTGTTGGTTATTTAATTAGGTAATAATAGCAAAAATATTTCATCAATCACGAAAAATCAAGAAAAATTCACTGAATTCAATAAAATTAGAATTAATGAAATCGTCCAAAATTTACACAAGTTATTCAAAAAAAAATTTAACATCGGGTTATGGCGTCTCTCTACAGATGCGACTCGCCATGAGGTCCAAGATCATCATTAATTCGTTAAATAATAAAAATATTGTCATAAAAATTGCGCAAAATATCTCCTTTCCCATGTCAATACACAAAAATATATGTCACAAATTTAAGAAAGTCTTGCAGGAAGAAATCTCTCCGCCAAAATAAAAAAACTAAAAAAAAACTCTAGTCAAAAGTCACAATCAATTAATAACTGTCGTGTCTCAAAAGCGTCTCAACAATGGCCCACGTTGGGTGCCAAATTTTCTAACGATAATTTTAATTTATATTTACAACATTTATTTTTATTCAAATGATGTGAATATTCCCCTTTTTTATTCTGAAGAAAAATAACTCCGTTCGTCAGACGCGAGTCAATTTTTATAGGAAATTAACAAATCCAAAACCCTTCAATATTCAACAATTACTAATAATAAAATCTAAATTCTTTAATCTCAAAGGAGATTTCGTCAAAACAACTGGGAAAAAGGGAACCCAAAATTGAGACACGACTAGCATGAATTAAATCAACTTTTCCACGTTGCTGTAATATGTCCCAATTTCTCCAACCTGTTCGCCTCTTCTGGGTTGGTGACTACAACCGCGAGCTTCATCCCTCTGCGGTTGGGTCCTAAGACCGTCACTCTCCTGCTTCCTGGGTTTCCCATCGCTTCAGATAACACTTGTTGCACCTCGGCTTCTTGGGTAAGGCAATCCAAATCACGGATCTCGAGTGTAACTCTTTGATCCAAAGACTACACTTTACCCTCCTTTTTCCTCTTATCGGTTTAGGTTCGAGTCTCCTCTGGACTTTCACCCTCTTTCTTCCGTTTCTGAGCATCTCTCATGACGCTTTTGAGATTACGTCTATAGGAACGCTCTCTCTCTTCCTTACGGTCCTTGCGGTTACACTCCGCATTGCTGAGAACGCATGCCAAATCGAAGTCCGTGGCATGCTTTACTTTTGCTTCTTTCAGCAAGACTTCGATGACTTTGAGTCCATCTTTTACCGTCCTGTTGACGTTCCTCTGAATGTCGCAAGACTTCATCATCTTAGAAACCTTAAACTCCATTTTGTCGAGATAACTCGCCTCCTTCTTTCTGAGCCACAAGCATATCTCGCGAGTCTCTTCAATCGTCTCGTCGTCTACTTCTGAGTAGATAGAGCTATGTGCGGTTTTTCCGCTACTGCAACTTAACACACTCATTGTCAGAAGACTCGAAGCGCTTCCTTTTCTCTTTCTTTCTCCTTCCACGATGTTCTGTGTATCCAACCTTTCCACGACCACCCGCGTCACTGCAAGAAATTGTACGCTCTCACAATCCGCGCGCGCTTGAGCATCAGTCCTGGGACCGATGGTGAGATTTCCCGTTTCCGGCCTGCTCACATGGGGTACCTTCTTTGAATTTTGTGAATCTATTCTTTCTTGCTGTTTAGTTGCCTTTCAGTGAAAAGCCTCGCCACTACGGCAAGGTCTACCGAATATATCCATGATGCCAGTCGTGTCGGGCAGTGGGAAGTGCGAGTGGAAGTTATAAATGAAAGTGGGGAGTGGTAAGTGAAAGTGGAAATTGGGAAGTAAAACGTGGAAAGTAAGAAGTGAGAATGGAATGTGGAAAAGTTACAGAATCTATCCCAGCATTATATGTACATTACAATATACAGTGTAGGTTAATCATAAGTAAAATAACTATTAATATTTACGCTTACCAATGCACGCCTCATAGTATTTTTTCCATAATAGAGTTCGCTTTTTTCATCGAGAATATTACCTCTTTCTAAAATATCTTTAAAATCAAAAACAATTGATAAAATAATTATGTTGTTGCAAAAAATATGTAAATGCATATACACAAATTTTTTTTAACTATAGTTTAAGTTTACCTTTTAATAGGTAAAATAACTTTTTACACGAATACATTCGGACAAGTGTATAAGACAAGTATATTAAAAACCACTTGTCCGAATCTATTCGTGTAAAAAGTTATTTTACCTATTAATTTAATAAAATAAACTCTGACGTAAAAGTTTTTTCAATAAGTTTACCTTTGATTATTTGAAATGATTTCACTTTAGTCATATCCGCCATGCCCCAGCTTGTAATATACTCCAAACTGGGATTTCTTTCAAGCCATTTACCACACACATAATCATTGAAATTGTCACATGGATCTACATTGTGATCTATTCCACTATACAGTAAAGCAGCTGTAAGTAAAATTTACTAATTATGATAAAAGTCAAGTAGTATATTTTATTTTTGTAAATGAGCATCAAAGTGAAATTTTTTTGCTTACTTTGAATTTTTTCTAAACATGTAATGTATACTTACAAAGTTGGTTTAAATCCATTTCTTTACAATAATCTATATACTGTCAATACAGATCTAATTTCCTGTTAGGATTGGCCAATAGATCTCGCATCTACGGTCGTAGATAGCATAATATGGGTGATTCTCCACGTAGCGCACGTTTAAGTTATTACTATTACTGATTTATTTTTTTTCAAATTGAGTAAAAGGCAATATAGAATCTTCAAATTTAGTGTTTATAAATGAAATATCAGTCGTGGGCCGGACAAAATATTTATAATTTTTCTATTTTTTAAACAAATAATTTTTATATATCTGTATATACTTTGCGGCAATACTATCCAGCCATGGTAAAATGAAAGCACCTGTTATATTTACAGTCAATTTAAATAATAATTATTTGTATGTTATTTTACAAATTACAATTGTTTAACAATTATTGCTTCACTCTGTTGTTACACGCTGTTCAATACAGAAAAGCCGTACCATGACAAGAAGGCCAGACCATGACGCTCAAGAGAAAATGATTTTTTAAACAATTTATTAGCGATTTTCATTCTGTTTCATATTTACGTCATTTATATTCACTGATCTAATACTACTACACTTTAATTGATGTAAAATATAAATAATTATCAATTTTATTGGGAAGTATGTGAAGGCCAGACCATGACGATTCTGTGATTCCCTATGCAAGTTTAGTGCTTTTAATGTCTAAAAAATAAAACAATTAATTCTCAAATTAGTTTCTCTCTTATTAATTTACTTAGGAGAGTTTGTTGTTGCGTTTTACTAATATTGAGTAAAGTTTCGATTTGATTTTTATGTAAATAATACAATTTTATAAAAAGGCCAGACCATGATGCAAGAACGAGGGACAAGAATTAACATCAAAAAAAATTTTTTTAAATAAATTTTTTTCGCAAGTTTTTTGTTTTTCACAATTCTACGAACATAAACAATACGAAACTATGAATAGTTTTTAGATTAATTACTGTATTTTATTAAAAATAAAATTTTTTTATATACATCGTACTGGGGACGCCATACCATGACGTTTTAGCACCTTAAAACAGCTTTTAAATCTAAATTATAAATTTTTAAATGTAAACGACTATTGGCTTTTGTTTGTAAACACAGAAATTAGTTTTTCTCCTTGAAATCTTTGCAATATGTGCAACTAATTTCTTAAAAAATACGAGGGACATTGAATTGTGCACTACGCGGAGAATCACCTATATATATACAAGTTCCGAATTTGCTTTTTCCGTCTAGGGCAGGTCTCCCACTACGTAGCCTTACTAATGAGTCCAAGTACTTGGGACCGGAACGAAACGATATAAAGTGGTGTTCAAACCACTCACATGGTTGATATACTTTTATCTCCATATTCCTTTAAAATTAAATGCTTGCGTATTTTGAATTTATATTTAAAGTTTTGCTATATTTATTAATCTGCATAATTTATTACACGAAAAAAGTAGTAAAATAAAATCTCATAACCCTAGAGGGGGAAACTAAGGTGATTATGCACTCGACGTGAAGTTCAAGGGTACGCCCCTGACCCAACAGAGATACGAAATATTGGGTCTGGAACTCTAACCATAAAAAAGTACCCGGATCTAGGTGCAAGACCCACATATTTCCATGTATTATGATGCGCTGAATTAATCCTTCATGCCCCAGGCAAATTGAGAGATTGGATTCACTTGAAACTCGTTGCTCTGAGATTTTTAGGGTCGCTGATTACGAATCCGATGATAGTTTTTCAAAATTCAAAATGGCGGATCCAATATGGCGGACCAAAATTTTAAAAAGAGATTGGATATGGTTGAAACTTAGTACTTAAGGGTTTTTGGAGTCGCTGATTACAAATCTGAAGTCATATTTTTAAAAATGAAAATAGCAGATCCAATATGGCGAACCAAATTTTAAAAAGTGATTGGGTTTTTTCAAAATTTGGTACTCGGGGGTTTTTTGGGACGCTGATTACGAATCTTGAATCAGATTTAAAAAATTTAAATAGTGTATCACATATGGCGGATCAAATATCAAATAATACCTTTTTCCACCTTCCAGGAAAGGAGAAGTTGAGATTTTCAAATTAAAGTTGGTACAGTAACTTTTAAAAACATGTGTGAAGTTAATTTATTATTGTGACCTAATCGAATGATTCTCACTAGTAGGTCCAGTACAATGACCAAAATTAAAATACCACTGAAATCGAACTAAGCGATCTTAAATGATCCTTATTCTATTTTTATCCCACTGAGAAAAATGGATTATATGTGATATAATCCGGATAATACTTCTTATATTTTTACATTGTATATAGGACAGAACTTATTTTAATTTCACAGCCTATTTAAAGTAAGTAGTTATACTTACATTCTTATATTTTTAAATGAACCTAAATAAAAAAGCAAACGTGAAAAAAAAATTTTTGGTGAAGAAGAATCAAAGTTAACTATTTGTTAATTAATATTGTTTTTAACAATTTAAATAAATTATTTTATGTTTTATTAATTGCCTGGTGGTCATATTGGATTAATTTGAACTGATTTAGATCATGTGCAGTAACGGAATCAGAAAATAATCCTCCTTTTTTAAAGATTGTATTAATTTGTTAACTTTGATTTAAATAAAAAATTATAAACAATTAATATTTCAAAAATCCGCCTTGAGCGATGTCTTAAGAATTTATTTCCCTTTAATTTAAAACTAAGAACACTCCAATCGGTTAAAAATTGTAGGCTGTAGACATTTTTGAACAGTAAATTGTAAAAAATTCTCACTGTACGGTGCTTGCGCGAGGAATGCAGCGCTCGACAAAATATCAAATTATAAAAAACCTTTTTATTTGCACTAAGATTTCTTTTCAGTTCTTGTTTATCTTTATTCTAAAGAACATTTAGCAAAAAATAAAAATATTTAATCGAGTGTAGCTTAAAATTGTATTTGTTTATAAAAAAATATTGAAAAATAAAAAAAAACATAATTTTTTAAAATTTTTACTTTATTACTCGAAAGTACATTTACTCACTGATATAACCATAAATTTTTGTTAAATTTATGTAAAAACTCAATTAGTTAAAATTATTTTATTAAACTCATATTTATACCTTCAGTTTATCATCAGCACGAGTTATTATTGTTTACCGTATTTACAGAGATCGAAAAAAATATCTATAAAATTAGAGATAAACTTTGCTTTCCATATTCTGAACAACATTTTTGAATCGATTCTATATTTTTAAAAGAAAGTTTTAAAGTCGTAGAAGTATTGCATACTTAATATATTCGATTATTTATCCTGTGTCAAAAAAAATGCGTTTGATTTTAAGGAAACAATTTTTCATGTGCTTTTTTAATTTATATAAAACATTTTCTTTAAATTTCAAAAAATGAAAGTTTTATTTAAGTTTTTATTGTTAATTATTTTTTAACATTTCGTAAAATATTCTAGTTAAAGCAAGTAAAATATACGCTGGATAGTCATAGTTTTTAAAATAGTCAAGATAGCTTAGATAGTTATTTTTTAAACATTCCGTTATTTAAGAATATATTCGTAATTACTATAAATAGTATATCGTAGTTATAGAAAGCAAAGCATAATATGCAGACTATGGATTTTCATTCTCCCAGAAGTCACACTTGTGTATTGGATTCATGTGTTGACCTTTTCGACAATTAAATGCATCTGCAAATTCCTTCATATTCTTCAAAGTACCAACAGCTCTTGCCATAGATGGTGCATGATCCTCATCATTATTTGTTACTGACTTTTCACAAAAATTCTGTCGAATTATAAAAAAAGATTTAATTTTATATGTTATGTGAATTGTTAAAAGGGTATAATATTATGACGGAGCTTATAAATTAAAATACTTAAAAAAGATGTCGGATTGATCGACATTTGGATTTTCTAATTCCAAAAAATATAAAAGTAACTATAGTACATACATTTGCAAAGGAAATGAAGAACAATTGGTTTGTATTGAATTGTTCAAAACCTGGTAGTGTTTTCTCTCCTAAAGATGGATGAGCGTCAATTATTTGTCTCATCGCTTTAAATGACAATTTTAATCCTTGTAAGTCAGCATAATTTTCATTTAGAGTAGCCGCACCATTCACCTACACGTGGAAATTTTAAAGAACATTATCAGTTATAAATAAAATTGTTTTAATTAAGAGCGTAAAAATGTAAATATTACTTTTATAAGCAATTAATATTTAGAGGCTAGTAATTACATTTAAATTATTGTAATGATTTATGAGACAGGTTTTCCTTTCGTTAAATATTGTTGCCATGTCTGGATTCTCTTCATTCCAAGATTCTGAAAATAGTATTTAGTTATTAAGTTATAAAAGTGAAATAAATTATTGTTTACATTGTAAAAAGAGTAGAATGTAATATTGTAGGGTTTTCTATTAGCTGGATAAAATTATATATAAACTGAACTTATATAATTACTTTTATATTTCTTAGAAATAAAATCAATATCAAATGCATGAGACATTTCATGACCGATTAAATCTCCCATTTTTCCAATATTGTAGGCGCTGTTGAAATTTTAAAATAAAATTCAATTATTAGGTACTTGTTTGCAATTTTTGTTCGTTAAATACTTTCAAACTTACGTTGGTGCTTGATGATGATAATAGGGTGCAAATAAATGTATTGGCGATATCACTAAAAGAGTAAATAGTTATTGCACTAACTGTAATTAATATAATTATCTAATGTAACTATGAATAGATTTGAGTTTATTTAAAAAAATAGTCAGAGGGAAATATATATTTATTAGACGTACATATGTATCTTTCAAAAACACTTCTTTAAGGAAAGCATTGTTTTTTACTAACGTGAGATATTTTTAGCAAACTCTGATGATACTTACTTAACGAATTTTCACCTTCTTCGTAAGACAAGTGCATTTTCATCTCTCTTTTGCTTCTTCTAAAAGATTTTTATAAATAATTATATATAAAAATACTGACTATAAATGTAAATTCATAAGAAGAATCATTTAAACTTTTGACAAAGTCTATTAAACACTGAGTTACTGAATTACTATTTTCTAAATATAAGTGGTCGCTTGATGATTCTAGCAATACTTCACCAGGTGACTAATGGGTTTTGTTTTTATTTTGCAACACACGAACTTATCCTGAATCTTGTTACCTGTTGTTCTTGCTTTTCGATTGCTGTTTATTTTGGGCCAATTGAAAATAATGTACAGTTTGAGCCTTTTTAAAGTTAATCAAATTCTGGAAAGCGCTTCTACTTATAGCGAACTGAAAAAAAATTTTCAATAATTCTATCAGTTAATATAGATATCACATTTTCAATACAATAAAAATACTTTTTTACATTGTACGAAAATGTTGTCTTCTCTAACATGAATTCGCTGAACACGTAATTAAGTGGCAAAAAAAGAAGTTTTATCTCTGATATTATATTTAGAGCGTCATTTCTCGCGACATGATCAATCCAACTATTATCAATTTCTCCTCTTAATATGGGCTTGAAATGATCAAGGAGTTTCATGACCTGGTAAAATTAAAAAATAATAAGCATAAGTATAATTTTTTGCATTAAAAATAAAACAAGATTAAAATTATCTTACAAATCTCTCTCTTCCATCGAATTCCTTATTATTCATTATTACATCACTAAATCCAAGTGTCATTGGTATATTGTTTAAACAATAATAGGACCTACTAATAAATGCATATTCCTTTAAAAACTTCTTGTCAAATAAACTGTATTATAATCGCAAGAATATTTTTTTAAAAAATTTTAAACGAAAAATATAGACATGGTAAAATTATAGACGATAATTATAAATGTAGACATGGTATCCTAATAATAACTGGAAGGAAATAAAGAATACGCTATTAAGTTAAATATTAGAACTATTAAGTACCTTTCAGGAGAACTGTTAACACCTTCCACTGTGTTAAGAGAATAATATATCTCGGGAGTAAATTCAAAATTGAATTGCATGTATAGTACTGCAAAGTAAATAGTATAAATAATTGAAGGGCATCATAAAATGTTGATAAGTTTTGTTGCATTAATAACTGTTTTTGAAAAATAATGAAATTTACCAATTGTCGAGATTGGTGTTTTACTTAAGATTCTACACAATTGAAGAATATAATTCGTATTAATTACTACTTTAAAAGATGGGTCTATAGAATTTTCCTTGTCATCAGCAAGCAGTCGAAGAAAATCAAGCCAATTAATCTAAAAATGAGAATAAATATAATAGATGATAATTTTTAAAAATAATATTCATTTACCTTCGAATTATCGTTTAACGAAGAGCACTTGGAATCATAGAATTTTTGTAATTCTCCAATAGTATAAGTTCCAATTTCTAAATCCTCATCATGCACGAGCTGCAAATAATTTATTTAATATAAAATCTAGTAGTAATTTCGATTAAAAATTTAATTTCGATATTTAAATTACCTTGTTTATTCTTTGCATAAACTTTAGCAATGACGTTTTGTGTTTATCTAAAGTTTTTTTTGTAATTTTTTTATGTTGACTCAAGAAGACATGTATATTATGCTTATATGATACCGGTTCATCTCTAAATGGTATAGAGTTTGTCCTCGACTTGTATGGTTTTACAATCTACGTAAAATTTTCTTATTATATTAACAATTTTTAAGATAGAAAACACAAATAATTATATAACTATAAAACATTTAAAACATTCCAATTGCATTTTAAAATTTTTTAAATATAACGCTTTTTAATTTTAGACTTGCATTCAAGCTCGTATCTTCGTCGAGCACAATTTGAAAAAGAAAAGTTTCACCAACTATTGTAGCAAAATATTTAGCCACATCTTGCCAGGATTGTCCTTCCCAGTTAGTTTTAGACATTACATCTGCAAAAATTGCTTTTCCGTTTCTTACTGAATAATCTGCAATTATGAAAGGTTTGGTTTTTAAAATTGTATATTTTACATATCACAATATACAGTGTGCATTGATGATAAACAAAATAAATTTATTTGCCTATTTACCCTCATCAATGCACGATTTGTAGTACATCTTTTCCATGGAGAGTTTTGCATTATCTTTCATATTAGCATTCCCTTCCAGAATATCTTAAAAATGGTAAAAAAATTTTGTACAATGATTATATTACTACAAAAAAATATATACACATTGTATTTTTTATATCTCTGCAGTTTGAGTTTACCTTTGACTATATTAATAAATTTAAATTTTGTCAATTCGGAGAGGTCCCAACTTTTTTTAATATACTCAACACTAGGATTGTTTTTAACCCATTTACCACAGACAAAATCATAAAAATTGTCACATGGATCTGCACTTTGATTTATTCCACTATACAGTAAAGCAGCTATAAGTAAAATTTACTAATTATGATAAAAGTCAAGTATATTTTATTTTTGTAAATGAGCATTAAAATAAAATTTTTGTGCCTACTTGGAATTTCTTTCTGAACATGTAATCAATACTTACAAAGTTGGTCTAAATCCATTTCTTCACAATAAACTACTGTAATTACAGATCTGCAAATATATAATTTCTTTTATAAAACTAAATGTTTATTTAAACCAAATTTTTATTAAAATTTAATGCTTGGTTGTTTTAAATTTATAATAAAATTTTCGATGTATTTATTAACTTGCATAATTTATTTTATAAAACACATAGTAAAATTATATCTCTTAGTTATGAAGTCAATATTTACAGTATAATTTTCGCTTAAGATAGTTCGATGGTCTCTGAAATTTGTAGGTTATGTGCGACTTACAGTTATCGCCCAAGAAAAACGACACTGCCTATTTGAAATGACGTGAAATTAGTAAACAACCGTTTTTGATCGAGTTTTTCTCTGCACACAGGCACTTTTTACAAAATCTGACAACGTACATTTGTCACAAATGTTTTTAATTGTCTGAATTCAAAAGATTTTGTTAATCCATGCAGAAACGCAGTTGCAGGATTGGAAATACAAAAGTAATGTAATGACAGGCCAGCAGTAAAAAAACAAGGCTAAATGCCTCACTGGTTCCGATTGTAAAGCGCCTGGCGTGAGGACGGTGGCCTAAGGATGTAGGAGGGCAACAACCATCGTGGACAAGGTGGAGAGACTGGGACTCGAGCAGTGTAAAAAGTCAAACCAGCTGCATTTCTGTTTTTAGTAATGCTTCTGCGATTGACATTAATATCTGTAATGAAGATCGAGATGAATGCATTAAGCTGCGGGAGGAAGAGGCAGCGATTATTAAAAAAATGGAAGAAAAGGTCAGCAAGATGCTGAAGTCCGTGAAGTCTAGAACAATGTCAATATAACAATCAAGGATTGATTCAGAAGATTAACATTGCTCATACAGGATGTCAAGGAGAAGCACGCAGCAGCGACCAAAAATATGAGAAGTTCTACTAGGGATTAACTTGGTCGAAAGAAGCACGCCAAGACCGAAGGCTAAGACGTAACCGTTTCAACGCAGCAATGGTAAAAAACGTTGTCTTGGACAGTCAGAAGCGGTCCTGAGTTTGCGAAGGACACAAAGAGAAACAAGGAAGAAGGACCTCCTAAAAGGAAGGACCTCCTGCAGGCAAGTGTACCAAAACGGCACCAAAGCCGAATTCAGCCAACAAAGGAAGACAGCCACAACAACGAACAACAATGATCGTCAAAGTGGCTAAAGGAACTACATTCGCCAAAGTGCTGAAGAAAGTTCGTGAAGAGGCTGACCTGGAGGCCAGGCAGACAAGGATTGTGGGAGCTTTGCCCACTAAAAAGGGAGACCTCCTTATTAAAATTGAAGGGACTTAAAATAAGGCGTCATCCACCGAGGAGGTGACAAAAGTAATTGAAGCTTTAGGTAAGGTGTAGATGGCGGACCGGCAAACTATGCTGGAAATCTGCGATATGGAAGAACTTACTAAAAAGGAAGACGTTCAGGATGCCCTGGAAATAATTTCTACAGTACCAGCAGATAGCAGCAAGATTACGGTCCTCGGACCAAATAAGCGAGGAGTAAAGCTCGCTACCGTGGTCACCAGCCAAGAAGACTGCTTCTTATGCCAAGCGAAGTTCGGCGAAAAGAAGAATATCCAACATGTCGATGGATTAAGAAGGTACAGAGTATTTAGAACTGCCCTAGAGGAAGTAAAGAGGGCTTTGTCAAGGACAAGGAGAAAATATAGCCAAAACAAGAGCGGCACGAAAGAGTCGTTTGAGCGACTGAATAGGACCATTCATCCGCGAAGTCTGAAGCCAAAAGGTAGTTCCGTAGGTGGATAGAAGTTTTGAAACCCAGGGGAATCAAGAAGATGTTTTTAGTCGGTATTGGTGACTAACTGAAACAGGTATGCAAGGTTTATTTTTTTTCTTGCTACTACTTTAAAGTTACAATAAAATATTGTATCCTTCAGGATTTTGTTCAACAACATTCCAGCTTCAATTCAGGTGGGTACTAGTCCATAGAAAATAGTAGAATTGATAGGAATTTAATTTAAACGTCTTCATATGCTAATTTCGATTGTCTGATAGCGTTGGGTGGAGGTGCTACTATTTTAAAGTTACAATAAAATATTCTATCCTTCAAACTGTTGTTTAACAACATCCCAGCAACAATGTAAATGGATACTAGTCCATAGAAAATAATAATAAATATTTTCAGGGATTCTTTTGAATCATATTGAGAGTCAAAAAAATATTTTGGTTATAAAATAAAAATTTTTAATTTTAGGTGAGCTGTTTGGCTAAGTTTGACCCAAAATTTAAAGAATTTTAATTTAATTGACGAGACGTCGATAATAAATTTGTAGTTTGTAAGTAGAGCGCAAGCTACTTTTTAGGCACATAAAATCTCGGTGACAAAATACATTTATAAAATAAAACATATGCTGCAGTAAAATAAATTTTACAGTAGGAGAGGGTGGTCCCATACCGACCCCCTTATGTTTTTTGAAGATGGTACCACTAAAAAATTCGTCAGTACCATTAGTCGAACACTTTCAAAACACCAACAACTGGGCCACAGGTTTTATCAATGCGTTTGATTTCATTTCGAAGATTCAAGCAATATTAGATTTTAGCATTGTGTAAATTAATTTTTGACCTATACGGAATTCGAGCTAACAGTGTTTTTTGAATAAAGGAAAATTTTTACGAAATTAATTTTGATTGTGTATGACCTTAACTTCAACGCACAACATTCAAATTAATTGATTCTATTGATATAAGTGATTGGCAAAACATTTTGTAAAAATAGTGGGGGTGGTCCCAACTCGATCACAGCACTTATTACTTAACTTTTATTCTCTTTTGGTTAAATATTTTACTCATTGTCAGTTGTAAAATGTTCTTGACAAGGCGATATGAATTAAGAAAAAGTGTACTTTTCGACATCTTTGAAAGCAGTTAAGTACGAAAACGAAAAAAAATTAATAACAAAATTCGTATATATTTTACTAGAAATAGGGCGAAAATTAAAACAGGCAAAACCATTGCTGTTATTATATTGGAAATTTAGACACTGTTTAACAATTTATATTTATTATCATTTCAAAAAAGGCCTTAAAATTTATTTAAATAAAGTAATAATATTAATTCAAGTTTAACTATGTCAACAAAACTTAAAGACATAAATAATCTCAGAGTAAAGTTACTAATGATTCATTTATTTACCTTTTTGTTCAGAAAAAGGTCCAAAAATGTATTTAAATGAAGTCAAAATAATTTAACAGTTCATTACAGACTGTTGAATTTTATTTTAATTACTATCAAAATTTTATATCTTGATTATTTTTGAGATTTCCCACAAAAAAATGGGGGGTCGGTTTCGGACCACCCATTTTGAGAAAGTTAAAAACGTAAATTTTCGCTTTTTCTTTAGATCTTTTATTAATGACAATCAGAAACCTCGGCAACCGTCAGAAAACATTGAAAAATAGTTCCTTTACTCGAAAAAATTTTGACGAAGAAAGAGAAACACATTTTTGGCATATTTTTTAGCCTTTGCACTTTAGGGGGTCGGTATGGGACCACCCTCCCCTATATTTAATATTTGACCTTGGTTATGAGAAAATATAATATGCATACATGTAATACTTCAAGATGGAAAAATGCATCTAAAGAATTGTAATGAATTTTAGGAAACGAATTATTTTAAGATTATAAAATAAATACTTACAGTACTGGTAAAAACCAAAATTGCATTTTAATTGTTTTCGCTTTTAAATGAAGAACGAAAAATGTTTTCTTAATCGATAATTACGACAAGAGAAACAATTTTATAGTAAGAAATAAAGTTTCAAACTCTTATTTATACCTTCAGTTTATCATCGGCAGGAATTATTATTTTTTACCATATTTACATACATTGGAAAAACAACTATTAAATGAGAGATAAATTTTGCTTTTGAATTCTAAAAAATGATTATTTTTCTATTTTTTAAAAACATTTTAAAAGTTGTAAAACTATTGTTGATATAATCTATTCTACTATGAAGGAGTTTACACCGTAAGCCTTAAATATAAGCCTCCGCGAGCATAAACGGATATGCCTCTATGAGGATATACTTGCGTCTGCGCAAAGTGTTTGCCTGCAGCTGTGTTGTGAAAGAGTTTGCCTTGACCACGTGTTCGCGCAGGCGCAAATATATGCTCCTGGAGGTATATCCGTTTATGCGCGCGGAGGCTTATATTTAAGGCTTACGGTGTAAACTCCTTCTATATCTTCTTTCCAAAAAAAATCGCTTTAATTTGAGAAATTAATTTTACCACTACTGTTTTAATTTATGTAGAACATTTTCTTCACTTTGAACGAGTAAAATACTCTTTGATGCTGATAATCATTTAGAAACTTACCAAGACAGACATATGTTTACTTTTAAAAATGAAGAACTACATTGGAATCAATATTGAAAGTTTTTTATTGTTAATTATTTTTTAACATTGCGTAAAATATTTCAATTAAAGTCAGTAAAATATTTGCTGAATAGTTATAGTTTTTAACATAATCAAAATAACCTAGATAGTTATCTTTTAAACATTCCGTTATTTTAAAATATATTCGTAATTACTAGAAATAATTATATATCATACTGATTATAAGCAAATCATAATCTGCAGACTATGGATTTTCAACCTCCCAGAAGTCACATTTGTTTATTGGATTCATAGGCTGACCTATTCTACAATTAAATGCTTCTGAAAATTCCCTCATATTTTGTAAAGTGCCAATAGTTCTTATAACAAACGGTGCATGATCCTCATCATTATTTATTACAGGCAATTCACAATAATGCTGTCGAATTATAAAAGAAGATATTACATGTTATGTCAATATTAATCAGAAATTCTGATTTTATAGTTTAGAGGAATGTAAAAGAAACTAGTACATACATTTGCAAAGGAAATGAAGAATAATTGGTCTGCATTGAATCTTTCGAAACCTGGTAGTGTCTCCAGTCCCAAAGATTCATTAGCGTCAATCATTTGCCTCATAGCTTGAAATGCCAATTTTAATCCTTGTATATCAGCATAATTTTCATTCAAAGTTTTCGTACCTTCCGCCTACACGAAATAGTTATAAATTACATTATAGCAGTTATTATAAAAAATGTTTTAATCATGAGCATAAAAATTTAAATATTACTAAATACAGTGTTTTTAAAAGCAATTTATATTTTAGTAATTACATTTAAATTATTATAATGATTTATTAGACAAGTTTTCCTTTCGTTAAATAATATTGCCATGTCTGGATTCTCTGTTTCCCAAGAAGCTGAAATATCAATTAGTTATTAACTTATGAAAAGGAACTAAATGTTTACATTACAAACAGTAGGTAAAATTGTAGTTCTACATTTTTATTAGCAGCATAAAATTATATATAAATTGTAATATAATTACATTCATATTTGACAGAAAGATAATTAATATCAAATGAGTGTGACATTTCATGTCCGACTAATCCTCCCATTCTTCCAAAATTATAGGCGCTGTTGAAATATTAAAATATATATAATATTAATTGAATTATAATTTAATTGTAATTTGTTTGTTAAACACTATAATAGAACTTACGTTGGCGCTCGCTGATGATAAAAAGGAGCAAATAAAAGTGCAGGTGACATCACTAAAATAGTAATTGATTATTGTGTTTTACCTACATGAGATAGCTTTATAGGAAATTTCACTGATTGTACTTACTAAACAAATTTGCTTCTTCATCAAGAAACGCGTGTAATTCCATTGCTCTTTTGCTCCTTCTAAAAGATTTTTATAAATAAAATTATGTAATTCTTGACTGTAAATGTAAATAACATCAGTAAAAATAATACAAAATATAAGTAGGTATATTAATATAATTTACACAATCATGTGGAAATATATTCACTTTGCTGTAATAAGAACTAATATTACTTTGAAAATGAACAAAAATAGTCGAAATTAATGTTAAAATTACAAGTTCCCTCAAAGGCAGCAGAAAAGAAAGTGGCACACGCTAAGACGGGTGGTCGTCTTTTATATTTCTATGAAATTGGCGCCTGATTGGCTGCTACCAGAAAGAGAAGGGAGCGTGGCACTACTAGCAAGCGTCTCCGCACCCCCCCACTCAATCTCCTAGCGACCAATCACGCTCTACTCTTATAAGTGTATAAAAGCCGTTCGCGTCTTAAGAAGTATCATTGAAAATTTTACCACTGTATGTTAAACACTTAGAGGAGTATTCCTAGAAATATATTATACATTTAATTACCTATTATTTTTGCTCTTTTTCTGTTCCCCCAGAGCCAATTGAAATTTATATACAGTTTGAGCCTTTTTAAAGTTAATCAAATTCTGGAAAGCAATTGTACCCATTCTGAACTGAAAAAAAGATTACAATAATTTTATCAGTTAATAGATATCACATTTGTTATATAATAAGAATATTTCTTTACTTTATATGAAACTACTGTCTTCTCTGACATAAATTCGCTTAACACATAATTAAGTGCCAAAACAAGTAATTTTATCTCTGATATTCTATTTAGAGCGTCATTATTCGCATCTTGGTCAATCCAACTATTACCAATTTTTTCTCTTAATATGGGCTTTAAATGATTAATGATCTTCCTGACCTGGTAAAATAAAGAAATTATAAGAATAAGTACAGTAAAAGTAGTTTTTTGTTTAAAAAACAAACAAAACTAAAATTGTCTTACAAATTTCTTTCTTCCAGCAAATTCCTGATTATTCATTATTACATCACTGAACCCAAGTGTCACTGGTATATTGTTTATACAATAATACGACCTACTGTTGAATGCATTTTCTTTTAAAAACTTCTTATAAAATAAATTGTACTATAATCGCAAGAATAATAAAAAAAATTTTTTAAAGAATATTTGTAAATGTATGAGTATTATAGACATAACTATAAGGAAATAAAGGATACGCTATTAAGTTAAATGTTAGAACTATCGGGTACCTTTCAGGAGAACTATTAACACCTTCCACTGTGTTAAGAGAATAATATATCTCGGGAGTAAATTCAAAATTGAATTGCATGTATAGTACTGCAAAGTAAATAGTATAAATAATTGAAGGGCATCATAAAATGTTGATAAGTTTTGTTGCAAATAACTGTTTTTGAAAAATAATAAAATTTACCAATTGTCGAGGGTGGTGTATTACTTAAGATTCGACACAATTGAAGAATATAGTTAGCATCAATTGTAATTTTGAATGATGGTTCTATAAAATTTTCCGTTCTCTCAGCAAGCAGTTGAAGAATTCTATGCCAATTTATCTAAAAATGAATGATAGCATAAATATATGGATATCAATTTCATAAAATATTTATTTACCTTTGAATTATCGTTTAGCGAAGAGCAATTGGTATCATAGAATTCTTGTAATTTTTCAACAGTATAAAAATACATATCTGTTTCTGATTCCTCATTATGAACGAGCTGCAAACAATTTACTTAAAAAAATTTCAGAATAATGGATTCTATATTACTAATAACAGCAGTAAAAATATTTTAACCCCCCTTTGTAAAATAAAATATAAATTAAAAATTTTATTCAATAACCTGATTTAACGTTTTTAATATACCTCATTTATATTTCTGACAAACTCTAGAAGTGATTGGTTATGTTCATTTAAAGTTTCTTCTGTAATTTTGCCATGATGTTTCAAGAAGTAATTTATATTATTACTTGGAAACTGTCTATCATCATATGGTACTAAGTTTGTCCTTAATTTGTGTGGTTTTAAAATCTACGTAAAATTTTCTTGTTATATTAACGACTTTTAATTTAAAAAAGACAAATAATTATAAATATCGTAACTTAAAATAACTATGAAACGTGTAAAATATTTTAAGAGCATTTTAAAATTTTTTTTAAATAACTAAATTTTAGACTTGCATTCAATCTCATTTCTTTGTCGAGTACAACATGAAAAAGAAAAACTTCACCAATTTTTTTAGCATAATATTCATCCACATCTTGCCAGGTTTTTCCTTCCCAGTTAGTTTGTGACATTATATTTGCAAAAATTTCTTTTCCGTATACTACTGAATAATCTGCAAATAAATTGTTTAGTTTTTAAAATTGACTATTTTACATATCACAATATTGCAGGTTAATGATTAACAAAATAATTTTATTTGTATCTACCATTATCAATGCACGAATCATAGTATTTCTTTTCCATATAGAGTTTAGTGTTATCTCTGCTAATATCATTCCTTTCTAAAATATCTTAAAAATGAAAAACAATTCGTACAATAATTAAGTTATTGCAAAAAACTATGAACGCATATGCGAAATTTTCTTATATCTTTGCAGTTTAAGTTTACCTCTGATTCTATGAATCAAATTTACTTTGTTCATTGCCGAGATGTCCCAATAATTAATGTACCTAACCCTGGGATTGTTTCTAACCCATTTACCACAGACAAAATCATAGAAATTGTCACATGGATCCACAGTGTAATCCATTCCACTATAGAGCAAATTAGCTATAAGTAAAATGTACTAATTAGGTTAGAAATCAAACGTAGTTCATTTTTGTAAATGAATATCAAAGTGAAATTTTTGTCCCTATACTGGCAACTTTTTTCCAAACATGCTTGTATACTTACAAAGTTGGTCTAAATCCATTTCTTGACAATAAACTACTGTAAATATAGATCTGGAAATATTAATTTCATTTTATTATAAATGTAATGTTTATTTATTGTTAATTTGCATAAAACTTAATGTTTATTTATACAGTTCTCCTAATTTGTCTTTTATTAAGTTTTGTAACTAAATTCAAACCTTTTTATATAAATATAATTTTATAAATATTATATTTGTATATACAATAAATATATAGCACTACTGCGCATGTGTAAATGTGACACGTCACTAATGCGCAGATGTTGATGTGACAAGTTTTTTTTTGCTTATGGATTTTTGTAAAATCTGCATACAGATATCTTGGAATCCGCACTCCATGGTTATGTGGGGTTTGTAAAATAAAAAATAAAACAATATAAAATAAATAAAGTAATAAGCTTAACAAGCTGGCAAATTACTGTCGTAAGACTTTAGCCTTTGAGGGCGGCGCTCCAGCTCTGTCGCTGGTGCGACTTTGTTCTTGCCCTGCGGATCTCCTGCGTCAATAGTTAAAATTAAAACTATTTCCAACCAACCAACCAACAGAATAAAGAACCAATTTTTAAAATATAACATTGTGAAAAGTCAAAAGATAAACTTGTAATTGGACATAAAAAAAATAAATTAAATAAACATATATATGAAGGTCAAAAGATAAAATTGTAAAAGGACAAATAAAAATTACAGAATAAGTTAAATTAAGCAGAACATATAAGTTAAAAGTTGATTAAAGACACAGAATTTAAAGTGTGAAATTAAAATTATGCTTTTTTCCTACTTTTGGACCTTGCAAAAGTCTTCTTCGCCTCCTCTAGGGCGGTTCGGAAGACCCTGCAAGTTCCACTTCCCGCAACGTGATGAACGTCTTTTGTTTCTAGGAACTTCTTCTTGCACAAGAAGCTAGTATCTTTCCTCTTACAATCCACGACCTTGTGTTCGACTTCTCCGCACCTAAAGCACGCAGTTGATCTATCCGTCGTGTTGCATTCTCTTGCTAGGTGACTACAGCCGAGGCATCGGTGACACCTCACTATCATATACTTCCTTCTAATCGTGCATGACCAACCTTTATGCGTAACGAGCACCTCCAGCTTCTCAGCCTGATCCTGATCGGTGACAACAACTGCGAGTTTTATCCCCCGATTGTTAGGCTCAAGGACCCTCACCTTTCTGCTTCCTGACGGTTCCTTCATGATACCTGATAGTGCCTCGGGGTCGATTACGTAGTTTCACTTTTACTTTAACTTTCAATTTCACTTTCACTTTTACTTTCACATTCACAGATTTTCACTTTCACTCTTACATTCACTTTCAGTTACAGATTTTTACTTTCACTTTCATATTCACAGATTTTCACTTTTACTTTCACTTTCACATTCATAGATTTTCACTTTTAATTTCACTTTCACAGATTTTCACTTTTAGGGGAGAGTGGGGCAAAATGGGGTAGGCGGGTCAAATGGGGTACCTCTGTTTTTCCATGATAGGTACTTTTAATTTTTTTTCCCTCGACATATATCATTCATGTTGATAAGAAACTGTTATTAATTATGAAGACACTCCAAAGAAAATTTTTTTTTGAAAGTTATACAACTTTTAAGTTTTAAGCAAAAAAAATATGGATTTTTTTCAAAATTAAAGTGCTCTCCAAACTTTTTGGGATAATGCATTTAATTTGGCAAGTGTGGGATCTTTTTCAGTACTTATTCTAAAGTATTTTCCAATAGAATAGATTGTTTAATTGTTTACAATAACTTGTAAACATTGCATTTTGTTTTAATATGCAGTGTGGGGCAGAATGGGGTACCTAAGTGTGGGGCATGCCGGAAGCTACGCCGTTTCATTAAAACTATTTAAAAACATTATATTATTCATATTTAAAGGTTTCCTGCAGAAGAATCGATATTTTTGCTTCGAGGAATTTATACTATCGATGTTTCATTATCGATATATCGATATTTTGCAATATCCATGTTTTTTTTGTTAAATTCTAATAAATATTACTTGTTTTTTCATAGTAATAAAGAATCCTACTTTTTGTTCGTATTTATAATCTCATACAACAAGAATTTAATGAATTTTGAAAAAATACTCAATGTTTTGTATAGTTATTTGATGCCACCCCATTTTGCCCCACGGGTGGGGCAAAATGGGATTTTAGCACTTTCTTAGAAAATACGATATAAGTTCTTTCAAAAATTTTTTTCTCTGCTATTATCATAATTTCCTCAAAGCTAAGTGTACAAAGAAGAATTCTGAAGCATAGCTGAATCGATTTATTCGTTTGGTTCTCTGTAAACAGCCAATTTCAAAAAGGTACCCCATTTTGCCCCACTCTCCCCTACTTTCACATTCACAGATTTTCACTTTTATTTTCACTTTCACAGATTTTCACTTTTACTTTCACATTCACAAATTTTCACTTTACTTTGCCTTTCACTTTTGTTACGTTTCTAATTAAAATAATAGTAACCGTGGTATAAGAACGAGCGATGTACTTTCGGAAGTCGCTAGCAATTTTCTCGCAAGATGGTAAGTCTTGCAAAAATTATTTATTTGTGAGTTTATTATTGCCTCAGCTCTTTAGTGTCTGTTATGACGTTATTCTCAATTAAGGATAGAAGAAAAATATAGATTTAGAGTTATAGAATTTTTATTATTAGAATAGGTTAACTGTAAAGGTAGGTATACAATGGTTAAATTTACCCAATACTTACAGTTGTTGTATCGGCGTGTATTCGCACAATTACTTAATATTACTTTTAAATGTTGTATTTAAAAGGCATAACGTTCTAAAATGAGTTAGAAACGGGATTAAAACGATCCATAATAATCGAAAACCGTATTCGAACCTAAAAGCTTTACATCAAGACCCTGATTGTTTTTGTATCTTGATATACAAAGATTTCTGCTAAATACGGAACACGACGGCACGAATAGTTGAACAGACTATGTCTTTGGTATAGTTACAAAATAATATAAAAGGGCATCTGCCTGATGGGACAAATCTTTGGTGACTTCGGTAAGAGAACGGAAGAAAATGACAATTCGGAAGAGGGCTTTCCAGCTTTTATGCAATAGTTCCCACTCGCGGAAAAAGGGTGCGAAGTAGTGAGTATCCAATACGGATGTTTAGAAAAATGTAGGTCGTCTTCCAGACCAATCTGGAGCCGAGCTATTTTAGTTAACCAATCAAATTTAACCGAACAGGCCCTAGGTTACTGAACTTTGACCCGAGTGGGGTCACTATGCGTTGGAAATGTAATTAAGCCGCAATGTACAATAACAAATTACAAATTACAAATACAAAATCGAAAATTCACATTTTAACTATCCTGCAGACTATATTTTACCTTTTAAATAAAATGAGCCATATGATAAAGCCGCAGAATTTTATTTTGATTCATAGAATAGCTTCAAAAAAAAATTCACCAAAAAAGTTCATTTTTCAGTGCGCCTGGGTAATATAACCCCTTAATATGCCAATAAAATTAAAAAAAAAGTCTGTCAAAATAAAACTAAAAATAGAAATGTGTCAGAGTGAATGTGAAAATGAAAATCTGTGAAAGTGAAAATATCTGTTGGGGAGCGTTCACAAATGATGTCACGCAATTTTTCGGGATTTTAGACCCTCTCCTCACCCCTGTCACGCAATTTCATGCTACTTTACTTGTAAAAATGTATTGTGTCTCGTTTAGTAGAGGCCCCCCCTACCCCCAAAAACGTGACATCATTTGTGAACGCTCCTTTGAAAGTTAACGTGAAAGTAAAAATCTATAAAAGTGATAGTGAAAATCTATGACAGTGAAAGGGAAAGTAAAGTAAAAATTTGTGAATGTGAAAGTAAAAGTGAAAATCTTTGAAAGTGAAAGTAAAAGTGAAAATCTGTGAATGTAAAAGTAAAAGTGAAATTGAAAGTGAAAGCGAAAATCTGTGATTGTGAAAGTAAAAATCTGTAAATGTGAAAGTGAAAGTGAAAATCTGTGAAAGTGAAAGTAAAAGTGAAAATCTGTGAAAGTAAAAGTAAAAGTGAAATTGAAAGTAAAAATCTGTGACTGTGAAAGTGAAAATCTGTAAATGTAAAAGTGAAATTACGTAATCGACCCCCTGTACCTCGTCCTCTTGGCTAAGGCAATCCAGGTCGCGGATCTCCAGAGTAACCTTTCGGTCCGCATTCTGCACCATACCCATGTCACCCACCTCCCTTTTCACTTTCTCAGTAAACCCGTTCTTGTCTGAGGAGCCTCCTATTCTAAAGAGGAGGTCTCCCTTCTTGGTTGGTCTTGCTCCAACTACTCTTGTCTGACTTGCCTCTGAGTTCACCTCCTTGCGGACCTATCCCAGAATCTCGGCAAAATCGTCGCTTGGGGGCAGCAACATGCCGACTTAGCTAAACGGTGAAAAAGATGCCGTTTCAAAAGAAAAGTGAAAAACATGCCATTTCACGAAACCTGTGGAAACTATGCCTCGCCGCGAAAGCGCTGAGAAACATACCTTCTCCAAACGAACGGTGAAGAACATACCTTTTCAGCCTTTTTAATATAATATTAACGGTTGAAAAGGCATGTTCTTCACCGTTCGTTTGGAGAAGGTATGTTTATCAACGCTTTCGCGGCGAGGCATAGTTTCCACAAGCTTCGTGAAATGGCATGTTTATCCCTTTTCTTTTCGAAACGGCATCTTTTTCACCGTTTAGCTGAGTCGGCATGTTGCTGCCCCCAAGCGACGAAATGATCTTCTTTCCGCCACCCTGATCATTGTTGATCCTCCAGTCGCTAACCTCGCCCTACTACCATGATCTGGTTTTGGCTTTGGTGTCGTAGAAGGCACTTTCTTCTTTTTCTTCACGTCCTTTGTCAACTCTGGACTACTTTCACTTTTCTTTCTTTTCTTAGAACACTCCCGCACGACATTTCTAATGACCTTCGCTTGGAATCGCTCTCGTCTTCTCTTCCGATCCTCACGCATCTCTTCCGAAATGAACATACCGTGGTAGAAGCGCGCATCCTGCTCCTTCGTGGCTTCATGCTC